GATGTGAGGACAGACATCCATTTCCCTCAGGATAGTTTTGACTAAAATGCACCTTTTGTAAGCCTTGTGTGCTTGAAGCTGCTGTATGTTCATAAATGACTGTGTTATGGTTTGAATGTGCTGGTACGACACCCTCCTCCCCCGACTAACGGGTGGTGGCGCTCAAGTGTTTGGGAAAGAATTCTACCACCTGGTATCCTACCTGTCGCACATGCACACACATACACACACGAACTATATACTACCACCTGCTGGACATCTCATTCAACGCTTATATGCAACTATTTAATTTACAGAATTTATTTCCTTGTTAAAAGAACAAAAGGCAGAATTTATTTAGTGACATTTCACCGACGTCTAATCAGACTGACACTTTATTGTGTTTTATTTTCCTCGTTGCTTTTATACTTTTCATTTGAGTTCATGTTTTTTATGTTGTACAAATCACTGGAAAATGTTACAGAGAAAGAAAAAAAGACTCATTTATAAAAGCTAAAGTCTACTAATGGATTATTGAGTATTTTTGTGTGTATGTTTTTAACATTCCTATCTTGATCTGAACAAAGTCTTAAGTTATAGTTTAACTAGTTCAGCTCCAGGTTGAGGCAAAGGTACGAGTTTTGTTTTTTTTTTTTGGTTTCATTTTGCCTATAATAATGTTCACCATGTGCTGAAGTATGTGCAGTGTTACTTTATGACACCAACACAAGTTGTGTATGGATTATATGGGGCCTGTATTGATTCTGTTCATAGTTGTTCTTTGTTTTTGTTTTAGACAAAGACTTTTTTATAATGAGATCATTTTTGCTGTTTTTATTTAAACTCTGTTTGTGTTTTATGTTTAGAATACAGACCATTACTCTGTGGCTGGAGCAGGGCTTGATTTAGATCATTTGGCATTATGTCCGGTCAACAACGGTACGTTGGGGTTGATTTTTGTGTTGTTTCATGTCGATGTGAACAACAGCTGCTAACAGTGAAACTACAAAGAATTCATTTAAATGACTGGACGACACAGAAGCAAACTACGGATCTGAGATGGTGTGTGACAACCAGACCTGCTCACAGTGACACATGTTGTCCACGTCGGTCAGGACATGTCCGAATGTTGCCCATAATTTTATCTCTGCACCGGCCGCCTGCTGAATTGAAACTGTGCTTTGTACCAGATCAGATCAGAGTAATGTGTGATGTTGCAGTGGTCAAGGCCTCAAGAGGGAAAACTCTCAGCTTGATTGTAATTATTAAAACTGTGATGAGTTTTAATGACATTCTTATATTGTGATTAAATACTGACTTCAAAAGTAGGGATTAAACATGTTCAATGAGAAAGGGTGACATTTTCCACATGTGCCGAAGAATTAAAGTGTTCTAAAAAACAAAAAAAAAACATTTTGTTTTTAATTTTACATAACCTAGCAATGACAGAATGTTACAAAAGCACATTTAAAATCAATTCTTACTGTGATGAGGGCACCAAGCAAATAATGTAGCAAAGGCAGTTGTTGCAATTCAGCATTTAATACTGAAAAACAAATGAAGTATACAGTTGTGTAAAATTACAGGATTTGGCGTTTGAAATTGATTTTCAAAAGGCTTTAGTTTTGATGTGTTGACTGTCAAACCAAAGTAGAAAAAAGTCACAGAAGAATAATTTATTCACATTCAATATTGTGAGGTCTTTTGGGGTGTCAAAACAGTTCTATAAAATTGAAAACAGTTCAAATAAAGCCCTCATATTGACCATAATCATGATTATCTGCAGGACATTTTAAATTAGCGAGGAATGACCCTGTAGTTTAAAAAAATAGACATTTACACAAATGTATTAGTTATAAAGAAATAAATGCAGGATTTACATCTCCCTCCGTGGTGTGGCACGCTATTGTTCCTCAACTCTTGTCTGAGGTTTTAAGTAAGATCAGCGGGTCTAAACATTTCAGTTAGAAGGTCAGAATAAATAAGCAACAAGTCTGAAAAGATCTTTGTATGATGCAGAGAGATAGAACTGGACAATCACCAATTGACAGAGTAGTCAGGGCTGAGGCTCTGCATTCTCAGTGTTGCTGTGGTTTTTATGAGGCTAAAACAATTGAATTCAGTCGTTCATTTCGCTGGTGCATTAGCAAAAAAAACCAACCCCCTTTTTCCATTTCTGCAGGAAGAACTTCTGTATTGTCGTGGCCATCATGTGTGAGGAGGAGGTGGTCAATAAAGTCAATGGCAGCTTCTCTGAATGACAATGTGACACCGCATTAAAACATAACGCCTCTGCAGTAACTCCGCTTAGCCAGCAGAGGACAGAATAAACCCAACAACAGAGGAAAGTCTTGACTAGCACGTCTACTCCTTAAGGCGAGTGCCGTCTTTAAAAACCCAGTAGGTGTTTTTGAATCAAATCTGTCTCAAATGAGCTGTTCCGACTTCATCTGATTCGTGACGTAGAAAGCAGGTGATTATAATAAGCACTGCCCTTGCACTAGGTAGCTCCAATCATACTACCACTCTTACCAATACATATGCAGTATATGTACATATATACTGTTTTGTACTATGTGTATATATATATATATATATATACACAGTACAGTTGCCTGCCACCAACTTCCGAACGCTGACACAAACCAATATCCTGAAAACAGTCTCAGTCACTGATTATGAAGGTTGCTTAAATGAAGTTTGTCCATGTCGAGTTGCCGTTTTTCGCTGTCCAAGATGGCGACCAGTACGCGCATGCGCAAATGGTCACTGCAACTCAGGCAGGTACTGCAAATCGGGAAGTGAGTCACTAAAATCTAATGAAATTTGTCCAAGCGCTGTTGCCGTTTTTCGCTGTCCACGATGGCAACCGCTTGCACATGCGCAAATGGCAGCAACTCAAATCATGCAATGACAACTGCAAATCGCACAGTGACAAGCTGTTGTCACGTTCGCTTCCGCCGTTGACGTTTAAATGAGACGGGGCTGGTCGGATTATACCGCGGAGGGGGCGGGAGCGCCGATCAGGCATGTTTGTTTTCTCTGTGCGGCGCATCCGCTCCTGGTGCGCTCCCCACAGTGTCCCGGGGATGACGCGTACTGCGTTTCTTAGTTCCGCATTTTAAAACCGTTCGTATTATTTTATTTACCGGATTTAATTAATAGAAATTTGGACGTTTGCGAATCGATTCAGAATTGTCCACGCCCGAATCGCAATGCATCATAGTCGGAAATTTCCCGCAGATATTTACAAGGCATGCGCAGGATTAAAAAGGGTACCAGAACTGGTTGTTTCTTGACTGCAAAAAGGGCGATAAAAACAAGTTATGTGAAATAAATGCCAGTGTAAATACGTGGTTTACTTTTAAAAAATAAATAGAAGTACACAATACTGTATTTAGGTAATTATGAAAACTGAATAGCTTTGACTGAAAATATGTAAAATCAGAATAGATGAATTCATGAATTGATTCATATAAATTTACTATAACACTGCAGACATTAACCATTTTATCAAATGTTGTCAAAATTGTCCTGTGCTGCCATCTTGTAATAGTACAGCTCAGGATACAGATTTTTTTTTGCCTAACCATGACAATAACTTGGTTCTATGAATGACCTCAATATTATATGGGTTCAAATGTTTCTTCCCCTCTGTGGATGATGGAATACTCACTTATAGTAGCAACATGCATACATACGGCATCACCTTCATCACCCTTTGTCCACCAATTAAACTGTTCAATTCGTCACTTGGGGGTAGGGAAGGTGAACAAATGACAAAATGAGATTATATATATATATATAGAGAGAGAGAGAGACATGCACAGCCAATGGGGAACACCCAGTCTTGTACTATCTCTGACAGGTACGTGGGAGATAACTATGGTATGTGAAACAAAAAGGCTTTTCATTTTGGTTAACAACTCTTTGGTTAAAGTTCTTATGCACCTCCACTCAAATGTGTCAGTAAATGTTTTGGACTGGCTTTGTAATATCCCACACACTTGCAAGAAACAGTAAGCCATTCTCAAGCTTTAGACCATCTCAATGTATAAAATGTGTTTGTGAGTCAAATAATATGTGAGTGTGAACTAGTCACAAATTAAATAGATTTTGAACACACACAGCAAAATTACAGCTTTAACATTACATATACTTATATATAGGCAATATATGTATTACACTTATATATATATATATATATATATATATTACAGTTACTTAGTCTCAATTTCATTATGTAAGACCACATTATTGAACATTTTCCTTTTTGTCGTCTCATCCCTTGGCCTCTGCAACAAATGACGTTGGCGTTAATAGCCACAGCCAATCGCAGGTCTCCAGCTGAAGGGACTTAACGCCCATCGAATCACTGTAACTATTTCTTTTAAAATAACTTCACCATCAACTCAATAATCCTGGTAAACGCAGAATTGTATACACGTAAAAAATGTCTTTGCGAGCATCGTTTACATGTGGCAAAAAAGGGCACAGTGTCTGGTTTCCAAATAAAGACAGAAATAGCTCCTTCAGTAAAGAAGAGAACAAATAAGTGAATATATTAAAACACAAGCATTTCGGGTAAATATCCTCTGTATAGCTTTATCCGAATCCCGTTCCACCACGTAGTTGTATCTCTTTGCGGGTGCATGGTGGTGAATGCTCTCACACTTACTCAAGTATTAGACCTCCCGTTGTTCCGTTTGTGACGCAAGAACTAAAATGTATC